TACATTGTACCTTGTTGAGTAGCGTCTGGGGTCTTCAATGCCTGTGAGCAGCCATCTAAGATACTCCACTGGTCTCACCCCTTCCGGAGCAAAGGAGAATGAAAAAAACAAGATACAAGCGAAAGATTGGTCCAAAGGACTAACAGACCACAACTACCACAGCCTCCACCAGACTAAGTCCAGTACAACTAGATGGTGCCCGGCTACCACCACAGACTACTCTGACACGGATCACAACAGAGGGTTGTGATCAAGAGGGTTTCTCCCGGACCAAGCTGGAGAAAAATGTAGAACAAAATTCTAACTCACAAAAAAAGACCAGACTTACTAGCCTGACAGAGACTGCAGAAACCCTGAAAGTACGGCCCCCGGACACCATTTCAGCTCAGTAATGAAGTCATCCCGAGGTTCACCCTTCAGCCAAAATTAGACGGGCCCATAAAACAAAACGAGACTAATGGGGCACAACAGCCCAGGATCAAGGACTAGAAGGCAGAAGGGGGCAGGAAGGCTGGTAATAGGGAACCCAAGGTGGAGAAGAGAGGGTGTTGACATGTCGTGGGGTTGTTAACCATTGTCATAAAACAATATGTATACTAACTGTTTAATGAGAAACTATCTGTTCTACAAACCTTCATCTAAAGTACAATAAAAAAAATTTAAAAAAAAAGACTTCATGCTGGTTAAAAGAGGGGGGAAAAAAAGATTACAGCCAAGAAAACCCTATGGACCAGTTCTACTTTGTAACACATGGGGTTACCATGAGTCAGAATTGACTCAGTGGCAACTAACAACAGCAGCATCCATTTGGACCTTACCTTTGCCTCACTCTAAGTTCCTTCATTATTACCTCCCCCTGGACTCCTGCAGGGAGCCCTGGTGGCATTGTGGTTAAGAGCTTAGCTGCTAAACAAAAGGTCAGCAGTTCAAATACACCAGCCTCTCCTTGTAAACCTTATGGGGCAGTTCTGCTCTGTCCTGTAAGGTCACTTTGAGTCGGAATCGACTCTACAGCAATTGGTTTTGGTTGGACTACTGCTGGAGTCCCCAGACAGGTCTCCTAGTCAGTTCCTCTCCTCTAATGACCTATCCTACAAGCCGATGTCGGAGTCATCTTCCTAAAAGCCAGTTCTACTTCTACCTTGTCTACAGCACCCAGAAAGCAGGGGCCTTCAATAAAAGCTTAAATGATGGAAACCTCCATTCAAATACTATCTGTAGCTTCCTTCCCTCTACAAAGCTCCCTGGCCTGGCACTAAGGGCCCTCTATGTTCTGGCTCTAGCTAAGCTTGGTCAACTTATTCTAAGAACACCCTAACCTCACCCCATACTGGAATAAACCACAGTCTTCTCCACTCCCAAACATGCTGTTTCCTCTGCCTGGAACACCCTTTCCTCAACTCCCCTGGTCATCCTGCCCCCAACACCCTCTCTAGGTTGCATGAATGAATGAATAACTTTTGCTTTAGTGAGCCTAAGCATAGCTAGCACATTGTATCGCTCTTGCAGCTTCAGGCCAGGCCAGGCATTCCTGAAATACCCACAGCCAGGTCCTAGAGCCCACTGTGCCAGGTCGCATAGCTACCTGTGTTCTTGGCATAATGTATGATCATCTCCTCTTCTGCCCAGGAAGAAGGCTGGGAGTCTCGGCTCAACAAGACCTTTCCATCTTGTGTTTATGAAGAGACACAACATGGGCTTCTCTTAGAGAGTTCCACGTGCAAAATTCGGCATGCCATTTTGGTTGGACACAAGGATGTAGAAGTGAAGAACTCCCTAGAGAGATGGCATGAAAAGAGGCAGCCCGGCCTCCACAGCCCTGCTTTCCTCCCTCTTCTGCTCCTTGGCCTGTGCTGGGACTTGCACTCAGCACACCTCTACTCTTTCAAAAAGAAAAAAATATACTACAGGATGATATCTCCTATGTATAGTAATGTCTAAGAAGACATTAGCCCATACGGGGCTGGTCCTGAAGCCTTCTGCTTTTGTTAATTCGGTTGAGGCACTAAATAATAAGAAGGAACTCATACCAATGTTCATTGCTGCACTGTTCACGTTAGCCAAAAGATGAAAATAACCTAAATGTCCATCAACAGATGAACAGATACACAAAATATGGTACATACATACAATGGAATACTACTCAGCCATAAAGAGAAATGAAGTTCTGATGTATGCTACAACATGGATGAACCTTGAAAACATCACGCTGAGTGAAATCAATTCGTCACAAAAGGGCAAATATTTATAAGTATGATCTCACTTATATGAAATAGGCAAATGCAGGGAGACCAAAGTTTATCGGTGATTACCAGGGGTAGGAGGGAGAAGGGAAAGGGGGAGTTTTAGTTTAGGGGCACTGAGTTTCTTCTAATGGTGGCAGAATAACTTGGCAATGGGTAGTGGCAATGGTTGCACAACACGTTGAACATAATCAACGTCACTGTAATGTACATGTAAAATATGTTGCATTGGCAAATGTTTTGTTATACTGTATATATTTTTAGCCCAATAAAACAACTTAAAAAAATTTTAAAAAGAGCCCAACTTTTCTTTTTCCCCAATTACTAAAGCCTCTACCTAAGATTTGGTGCTCGTGAAATGCACTAGCCCCAAATAGAAATGTCCTGATTGTCTCGTATGTGTTGTTTATGTTGCCAAACACCCAGTGGACACCATGAGACTATTATGAAATTTAATAACGGAGCAAAGGAATGTAAGTTTTGGAAGGGTGGAAGAAAACCAACACTCTGATGTTATCTGTTAAAGTCAATATTCTTTAAGCAACCTAATAAACTTTTTTTTTTTTTTTGCAAGGGGTAGTAATCCTCTGTTCTGCTCCTGAAACTTCGGGAACTTCTTTCTGCAAGGTAGTAAGTACTGATGAAGGTCAAGGGAAAAGTAGGCTAACATCCTCAGATTGCATTAGGATTTTCAGATGCCGCCTTCTAAACTAATGATGGTAGATTTCAAAATCCTAAAATCCATGGGGAAGTGTTGTGTAAAGCTAAAGGAGGCCTTCTAACCTGATCATTTGAATGACGGTTTTACGAAATGCTGCTCTCTCTTGTAAAGTGATTATGAAAGAGGCTACCTACGAAATCTAAAGGGAGCAAAACAGAAGAACATATGGAAAGAGATTACGGGATTAATGAATTATGCAATATGCCTTAGAATAATAACACAAGTTGCCTCCCAATCTTTTTGAGGAAGTCATTGTATATTCATATTAAACAGCTAAATGTTATGCTTTTTACGTTAAAAAAAAAGATTTGAATCACTAGCAGGTATTTGTTTATTCAATAACATTTACACAAAGTCTACAAATACACAAAGAGAGAAGCATTCAGAACAGTGCGTTTGTATTCAGCATTAACAAACTCAGCTTATTTTTTATTTCCTAATTTAACCTTTTAAGTAGTGACATACACAACTCTCTTCAATAAGAATCAGGGCTTAGAGTCACATATTTCACAAACTGAACTTGAAGCTTACAAAAAATTGACAACTACACTTCAAACTGTTTCAATTGCTTAACCTAAGACTAATAAATGTAAAAAAATTAAATGTTAAAATTTTATTTTAAGGAAAGCATATAAACTGTCAATAATATAAACAAGTGATGAAATTGACTAAATACGTACACATATTCCACCCCCCCACCCCCCCACCCACACAAATAAGCCTCTTATAAATGGTAGCTGAATGGCTATGGAAAATGATAAAGATTACTACAAATTTTATAATTTTTAGTAATCAGCCATAGTATTCAAGTATTTATAGTTTAAAGAAGAAGCCTAGGTAGGTCTAATATTAAGCAAATAAAAAATCTAGGCTGCCAACCCTAGTAGCAAATAATCCCCATGGACCATTTTCACCTCATAATTCTGTCCTTGCAAACACACACCCTGAATACTTTTGAGTACAGATGAGAGGGGTCATAAGGGTAAGAAGGCCAAAGCAGCAAACAGTACTACATATAAAGGATACAGTACTATGCCTAGAAAGTTCCGGCAAGCGGGCCTCCCTTCCTTCCTCACATCCAAATTTTGAGACGGGAAGCAAACAGTTAAGTAGGTACACAGGTTTAGACAGGCCTACCCCAGCCCTAAACAATGTTAAAATGCATTTTGTGGTGAGTGAAGGAGAGTTAACCCTTTCGTGACTCATGGAACATACAATATCTCACCCACTTTTTATGCCTCTGGAATTCTTTGGGAGTATACTTTTCCCGCTGAAAGTATTTGCTTTCCTACAGTAAGGACTTGTATAATGATGAAAGGCAAAAAAAAAAAAAAAAAATGTGTTGACGCAAAATAGCTGGGATATTAGGCAAAACCAGAGGGGCTCCATGTACCCAAATGGAAGGCACCCCACAATAAAGCCTGCTACCCAAGACTGGTGGACCAGATGGGCTCCCATAAATCATGTATTTTCACATAATATTTCTCAAAATGTATATTACCGACCAAAAATGTAAACACACTCAATGACTCAGCATGCATTCCTCTACTGAAAACACACGTTATCAACAAAAAATTTCAAAGCAGAAAATAATTGAGTCTTGAAAGGATTAAATTTTTCAAGTGCTAGCCCAGCCAGGAGATGCCAGCAACTTCTCATTTGATGATGAACAATTTGCATTTTTAGCCTTTACTTTTGATATGTATTTTAGAATAATTCACTGATCCAACCAAAAAAAAAAAAAAAAAAGGGGGTGGAGGGGTAAGTCACGAGTAGGGGAAGGATAAACAATTAAAAAACTGACATAGGTGACATAGCAACATAGTTGGATTCCATTTCTTATAAATCACATTTCTGACAACCCATTTAAGCTGATATAAGTCTTCTCAACTTCTGTCTACATACTTTCTGCTCCTGCGCAGTTCAATCACATGGAACCTCATACTTTAAATACTATCTCATATATTGATTGTATTGTCATTAGAAAACAAGAAATACTGTGTCTGTGTATTTGAACATCAATCGCCAGCACTTACCTTCAGGAAAATTGTGGGGCTGAACAACATGGAGAAAGGTGTGCACCATTCGAAAGAGACCTGTAATGGATCCTGTACTAGGGGAGCCACTGGTCTCATAGTTCACTGCAGGCAAGTCAAAATGCAGACCCTCAGGAGTCTGTGTAGACGAAGGCGGCCCTGCTGAAATGGTCTTCCCACACAGCCCCAGCAGCAGTAAGCAGCCAAGGATAAGAGCCATAGCTAGCAAGCTCCCCAAAACATGAGGTAGAACTGGGTTCCTCCCACTTCAGAGGTTCTGGAAGCTTCAGGAAAGGAGGCAGCTTCCCTGGGCAGTACAGGCGCGCTGGGAACAGCTCAGTAGAACTCTCAGTCGTCTGGCTGGGCTGGCATGCAGCGAAGGGTGCAGACGAGCCTTCTCCAGAGGAGGTCAGTTACTCAGGGCACCATCCCTAACAGGAAGAGAAAGGGCAGCAGAGTCACCAATGCCTGTAACCTGCCTCTGCCTCCACCAGCAGCTTCCTTGGGGAGGAGGTTATGAGCTTAGAGCAAACCCTCAGCGTAATCTGGATGGGCGGAAACCAAACACAGGGACTGCTCCATAGCCACAGGGAGGGGCTGGCATGGAAGCAAGGACTCAGGGAAGAGCCTTCCTCAAGGGCCCAGACTCAGAGCACACGCCCTTCACGGGTTCAGGAAACACCAGGTCTTTGTAGAGAAGGCTGGGCAGTGTGAGAAGCTGGTATTTATTGAGCACTAACTCTATTACAGAAACTCTGGTGGTGTAATGGTTAAGAGCTATGGCTGCTAACCAAAAGTCCGGCAGTTCGAATCCCCCCGGCGCTCCTTGGAAACCCTATGGGGCAGTTCTACTGTGTCCTATAGGGTCACTATGAGTCGGAATTGACTCGATGGCAGTAACTCTATTCCGGGCACTGTTCTATGTGCTTTACAGGGGGACCTCATTCAAAGCATTATCCCATTTATAGACGAGTTAGCTGAGGTAGAGAAGGTTCCAGTGACTGGCCTGAGGTCACAGCTGGAATTCAAACTCAGTAGTTTGCGTTAAGGAGCCCTGGTGGCACAATGGTTAAGCATTCGGCTGCTAGGCCAAAGGTCAAAGGTTCGAACTCACCTAGTGGCTCTGTGAGAGAAAGACCTGGTGACCTTTTCCCAAAAAGATTAAAAACCCCATTATCGTCGAGTCGATTCTGACTCACAGTGACCCTATAGGACAGGGTAGAACTGCCCTATAGGGTTTCCAAGGAGCAGCTGATGGGTTCGAACTGCCAACCTTTTCATTAGCAGCCAGGCTCATAACCACTACATTACCAGGGCTCCTCCGAAAAGACTACAGCCTAGAAAACCCTATGGAGCAGTTCTACTCTGTACTATAGGGTTGCTATGAGTCAGAATCGACTCCACGGCAAACAACAAAGTTTGCCTTCAGGGAGTCCCTAGGTGGTGCAATGGTTAACGTGCTTGGCCGCTAACTGAAAGGTTGGAGGCTCGAGTTCACCTAGAAGTGCCTCAGAAGAAAGACCTGGCAATCTACTTCTGAAAAATCAGCCATTGAAAACCCTATGGAGCACAGTTCTACCTGACACACATGGGGTCACCATGAAGCAGGGTCAACTCCGGTAAAGATTACAGCCTAGGACACTCTATGGGGAAGTTCTACTCTGTTCTATAGGGTCACTGTGAGTCAGAATTAACTCAGCATCACGCAACAGCAACAAAATTCTATTGTTAGCTCTGTACTGAGCTAATTGGAGTGAAAAGGGACTTGGAAGACAAGGCAGTGTCTAAAGGGATTACATATGAATTGACATCTTCATTCAGATAGTTCATGAAATCCCACCTTTTGTCTGGAGCTTTCTTTGACTTGGTGGAATGTAGGTCATTTGGCCCCTTGTAAACTGTGTCACTTTCTTGGTTATGCCCCCGCCCCAGCTCCCATCTCACAGTGTGTTTCAGGTTGGTTAAAAAAAAAAAAGTTTGCCTTCAGAGTCCAAGCTCTCACCACTACACCAAGATACCACCCTGACAGAGCCCGGCTTCTCAAAGACTCCAATCAGAGATTCAGAGGCCCCCAGCAAAAGACTATAAATGCTTATTTCTCTTCAAGTTTGTGTTTTCTCTCCTTCTCTTTCCCCTCCCCCTCCTCTCTCTGTCCCTCTCTTAAACCCATTGCCATGGAGTCGATTCTGACTCATAGCAACCCTACAGGAGAGAGTAGAACTGCTCCATAGGGTTTCCAAGCAGCAGCTGGTGGATTCCAACTGCTAAACTTTTGGTTAGCAGCTGAGCTCTTAACCACTGTACCACCAGGGCTCCCTCTCTCTCTTACTCTGCCTTATATTCCACTTATCTGCCACTGATCTTATTTCAAACATCACCCTCTCTATGTCACCCTCAATCCAAACTAGAAGGACATGGCCCCAAGGCCAGGGACCAAACTCTCTGAGCTTGAGAGAGAGCACTGAACTCTGTTTTTCTAACAAGCTCACCAAGGAATTCTGATGGAAACCCTCACTCCGAGTCACCACATGGACATCTAGAGGTACAGGGAATGACAGGCAGGGCAGAGGGAGACCCCTGTCCATGCCCTGGGAAAGGAGAAAGAAGCAGGAATCCTAAAAGCTGTGGCCAACACAGTGTCCCGTGAGGGAAATGGACAGCAAGTTCCTCCAAAGTAGACCCTGTTTTATTGGTGTTTCTAGCCCCAGAGTAACTAAGGGAGTGGCACACACTTGGTGTTCACTTGCTGCTTGCTAACTAGAAAGTAAAGGAAAACAACTGATCGACTCATGCCATTACGTAAGACTAGGTGAATCAAAACAGAACCTACAAATAGAAACTGGGATGCACCTCTCTTCCTATCTTTTTGTTCCCCTGTTCAGAAACACCCTGATTTTATTTTGTAAGTTAGATGCTAGTTTACTGAGTATAGGCTGCTCCTGAAACACACTGTGAGATGGGAGCTGGGGTGGGGGCATAACCAAGAAAGTGACACATTTTACAAGGGGCCAAATGACCTACATTCCACCAAGTCAAAGAAAGCTCCAGACAAAAGGTGGGATTTCATGAACTATCTGAATGAAGATGTCAATTCATATGTAATCCCTTTAGACACTGCCTTGTCTTCCAAATCCCTTTTCACTCCAATTAGCTCAGTACAGAGCTAACAATAGAATTTTGTTGCTGTTGCGTGATGCTGAGTCAATTCTGACTCACAGTGACCCTACAGAACAGAGTAGAACTTCCCCAAAGAGCGTCCTAGGCTGTAATCTTTACCGGAGTTGATTGCCAGGTGGTTTGGACCTGTCGACCTTTCAGTCAGCAGCCGAGCCCTTAAGCATTGCACCACCAGGGCTCTTCCTAATAGAATCACTAAACCCTAAACACTCCCTCTATCAGATTATGGGCTGCTCAGTGCCATCCTCATTAACCCCAAACTCCAGCTGTGCCTCCCCTCCCCGTTTGCCACCACACCCACAATATACGCCATGACCCTGACAACTGCTTCCGAAGGGCTCGGTCTCCCTGCCAGGCCACAGGCACTGCAAACACCGATCCCCAGGCTCTGAAAGTCTGAAAGGCGCTAGGAAACTACCATCTTGCATATTCAAACACAAGTGTACTCTGCTTAATGTTCAAATTGTTTCTAAAGAGATCCAATGCTAAGAAGTAAAGCAAGTTAGCTTTCGTAAGCTCCCTGTCAGGAAACGACCAGGGATGCACAGGCTAGGAGCAAGATTTGGAAGGAAAGGGTGCGTGCTTACTCAAGTGGAATAGGACTGTTCTCCCCTAAGCACGCAAGCAGGCACACACACACACACACCCCACACATACCCACAGGCACACCACATACACACAGCACACGCAAACACCACACATGCATATACATCACACACATACCACACGCACATACACATCTACAGACACCACCACCACACACTCACACACCACCCTCACCACATATACTCACACATTCTCACACTCATGTCACAGACTCACACTCACACACACACCCCATACACATACTAACACACACCATACAAACACATCTACACTCACACACCACCTCACCACACGCACTCATACTCATGCCCCCATCACATACCACATCAACACATACACACACACCACACTCACACACCACACTCACACACCACCCTTACCACACACACACTCATGAATATATCGCACATACCACACACACACCACCCTCACCACACACTCATACATTCTCAAATATCACACACTCACACACACCATATACACACAACAGACACACTAGCAAATACCACATACAGACACATCTACACACGCATACATTCACACGCTCACACCCCACACACTCTCTCACACACACACACACACACACACACACACGTTCTTGTTTTCTGCTGAAGGATAGGCAGAGCGCTAAGCCTCAAGCACAGCAGCTGGGAGGATTAAGGGTTGTGCTGCTGAGGAAGGCTGACTTCCTGGTAATGCTATCCCATCTCAGCCAGGGATGGTGAGAAACAGCGGCAGGAGAGAAATGGCAGGCGGCCCGTGAGAGAGGTATGAATAAACAGGCTCTCCAACTCCCTCAGTGAAAAAGCAGAGGAAGGGAAATCCCAAATGAAATGAGCCATTAGTGCTCACTGCTGTAATGAGGGAAACATTAGTTGAGCTGGGTGACAGACTTCTTTACATCTTGCTCCAACGTGTGGGTCCTCCTTAAGTTTGAGAGCAAACTTTAAGGAAACCTGTTTATGAAACTCTAGACAATCGAAAAAGTCACATCAAAAAGGAGGAATTTTTCATCTCAGTTTTAATTAGGCACGCCAGAAAAGATGGCCTAGGTATAGAACTCTCACCTTCCACATGGGAGACAGGATTCGATTCCAGGCCAATGCACAGCCACCATCTGTCTGTCAGGTGGAGGCTTGCACGTTGCTATGATGCTGAACAGCTTTCAGTGGAGTTTTCAGACTAAGACAGAGATCTACTTGTGAAAATCAGCCAGTGAAAACCCTAGGGATCACAACACTCTAATCCGCAATCAATCACAGGGATGTATGATATAGCAGGTTCACAAGTTCTTAGGGCGAGGGACCATTTGGAGCAGAGCACAAACCAGTCACTGTTCTAATGGCATGATAACAGGCTTTTATTACTCACCGAACAAATAGCAAACAGCTTCATCAGCCAAGTTTCCCTGAAGTTAGGTTCCCATCCTCGGGTGAGATGTTATGATCGCATCCAAGTGTGCCCCACTTCGCACCATGGGTAAGGAATCCCAAAGTCCCTCTCTCCCAGGGTTAATATACTAGT